ACATGAGCGTCGAGTATGTATTCTCAGCGTAGGACTCGAGCGCGGCGATATTTGGGTATGGGTCGTTCGTCAGGGTTTGCTCCCGTGCATTAATTATACGGGTCAGCCAGCCCTTGCTTATGCGCGCGCGGCCCTGTGTGCGCTCGTGGAGTTCGGAGATGGCAGATGCAAGCAAGATCGCGACGGGTTCTTTTGGTGGCGTGCCTGCAAGGATCTTTGTTACTGAGTCGCGCCAGAATTGGAGTCGCATCAGTCCGATTGTTGGGGAGGATGTTGTGTCGGGGATCATGGAGAGGGAGACGTTTAATGCGCGCAGCGCAATGTAGAAGGATTGCGCATGTCGTGGGATGAAGGTGCTCAATGTGTAGGAGGGGCGGTCATATTTTCTTTGGGAAGAGCGCTATGTTAGCTTTCGGGCTTTTTTTCCCATCGTTGCAGCTTCAATGAGCTTGGAGGACCACAGGGACGGTGTTTCATACGAGAGAAGAGCAACACAGTATTTGTGAGCGCCTTGGACTTCTTCCGCGGTAATAGGTGCGGCGATAGATTGTGTCCGGCTGAAGTGTCGTTTTTGTGATTGAAAGCTTCGTAGATGAAATCTACAGGCGCTACTTGCCTGGCATGGCCGAGCTGTGCCGAGAAAAGACATGTTTAATGTGAAGTTGACAAGCTCTGGGGAAAATATTCGATGTAATCAGAGCAAAGGCATTGGCCAGCCAATCTTTGTCAGCGATGCCCTCGGCACTTGCAGGTCGACTCGTTAGAAATTCAAAAAAGAATTATTAAAAAATTATAGAAAATTCGGATTAAATAGGACTAAATAGGACTAAATCAAAAAAATCAAATAAAAGCGAAGAGTAAGGGTTCATATGTCTTGAAAAGTGCAGATATCAAAATCCAATTTCCAACATTTTCCCTTCAGGGCTGACGTCGATCCGCCTGACTTCGCGTTTCTCGGCGCGTCTCCCCGAACTCGACTTTTTTCATCTTCATCACGAATCTCGATGGTACAGCCAATATGAGCGAGGATGTAGAGCAACGCCCAGCAAAGAGGCAGCGCTTCTTCGCTGACAACCCATCCTCACCTTTACCCACCAAACCCCAAAATACAGACGCGTCCCTACCTCATTTCCTGGAACATGAAGAGTACCGAACAGACCATGGCACTACACTCGAAACTCCGTCACTCAACGGTATCCCAAAGAGCTCTGCTAGTTTGGAGAACGAAGCAGATCCACAACATACACGAGTCCGAACGACGGAAAGCCTAGAATTACCCATTGCGGACGCTACTCCTACCGCCTCTCTCCATGAGAACGGAGTAGACCAACAAATAGAGGAAATGACTATCAGTACCACAACAAGCACATCTGCGGATAGCTTTGATGTCGACCTTTTCACCAGTATCGTGGGCGAGCAACTACCTGCCGATTCAATCACAACCATTCAATCAGCTGCCTCCAATAATCTCGAGCGAGCTGTTAACATATACTTTGATGGATCATGGAAAAAGCCCGCGCCAATAAATGGTAGCGTTCCAGCCAGAAGCCGGAACCCCGCTCTTCGGGTACAGCCTGGCCCCGAAACGCCAGTTGAAAGCAAATCGGTCCTGCAAAATCAGCCATCGGTAAGGTATGTTGGCGCATTTGGGGTGGGAGGATGGGCAACGAGAAGTGGCTGGGGATTTCTGAAGCATGGAGACCCCGTCAACATTGAACGCGCACGTTCACAGCCAACGACGAAACGTGGCCGAGGAGGCAAAGCATTTGTCAATCACAAAAGTGACGTTTTGACTCGATTCACGAACACTGCGGGGCAAGAAATCGGAAGGCTGCCACATGAGACTGCTGAATGGGTTTCTACATTGATTGATCAGAAGATCTGTCGGTTTGAAGGAGTCTGTGTATTTGTACCTGACAGGGTGCGAGTCAACGATACCATATATTTACAACTCCAAGTCTATTTGCGAAAGGAAGCTTTCCAAAGCGGGGCGCTCGCTGCTTTGAACACCGATGACAACAGGTCCACTGGGCTGTTTGAGGAGAAAGAGAGCACCGAGGAGAAGAATCTGCGACTACGCCAAGTCGGTCTAGTGAAATTGTTTCATGAAATTAATCTTCATCCTACCTCCACCAATCCGACTACCGAAAAGCACAAAAGAGATGGCATTTTGCGTGCCGCGGAAATTGCCGAGCAATATGACAGCACGAAGAAGGAAAACAAGCAGAAGTCAAACAAGGATTCCAACGACTCCTCGGGCGAAGACGACAGCGAAGAACTGGAAAAAGATCAGCTCGATACCCTGTATCAAAAAGCACAATCATTTGATTTCAACATGCCAGCGGCAGATCCAGCACCTACCTTCACTCTTGACCTACGCAAGTACCAGCAACAAGCCCTTCATTGGATGCTGTCAAAAGAAAAGGACTCAAAGCAAACTCGAGAGAAGTCCATGCATCCATTGTGGGAAGAATACACTTGGCCTAGAAAGGATGTTGACGACAAAGATCTACCACAAGTTAAAAACATAGACCATTTCTATGTCAATCCGTATTCGGGAGACCTCAGTGTGGACTTTCCTGCCCAAGAGCAACACTGCCGGGGCGGAATTCTGGCTGATGAAATGGGTCTGGGGAAAACTATTGAGATGCTCAGTCTGGTCCATTCTCACAGAGCCGAGCCCGATCCACGACTTTCGAATGGTCTCAGCTCAGTGAATGACCTTGCTAGAATGCCGAACTCTTCCGGGGTGGTGCCAGCGCCGAATACCACTCTAGTCGTTGCACCGACATCTCTAATTTCTCAATGGGAAAGCGAGGCACTCAAAGCCGGGACGTTGAGAGTTCTTGTTTACTATGGGTCGGATAAGGCTGTCAACTTGAGAGAATTATGCTGCGAATCCAAATATGCAACAGCTCCACAGGTGATTGTCACCAGTTACGGTGTGGTATTGTCGGAATTCCGCCAGCTCGCTCTCCAGTCTGCTCTAGGACCCAGTGCAAACGGGGGTCTATTCTCTGTAGAATTCTTCCGAGTAATTCTTGACGAGGCGCATGTGATCAAGAATCGCCGTTCCAAGTCCGCTAGATCATGTTATGAATTAAAAGCAGCCCATCGGTGGGCGCTGACTGGCACGCCCATTGTCAATCGCCTTGAGGATCTCTTCAGTCTGGTGCGTTTCCTAAAGGTTGAGCCATGGAGCAATTTCTCCTTCTGGAAGACGTTTATCACTGTGCCCTTTGAATCTAAAGAATATGTGCGCGCCCTGAACGTCGTGCAAAGTGTACTGGAACCTCTTGTTCTTCGGCGGACCAAATCGATGAAAACCCCAGAGGGCGAGCCCTTGGTCCCCTTGCCCAAAAAGACAGTCACAATTGAAGAAGTGGAGCTAACGAAGCAAGAACGAGAAATTTATGACTGCATATATACCCGAGCGAAACGAACTTACAACGACAATGTCGTGGCTGGCACACTGTTGCAATCTTACAGCACGATCTTTGCTCAAATTCTTCGTCTTCGCCAGACCTGCTGCCACCCTATAATGACACGCAACAAAGCCATCGTTGCGGAGGAAGAGAGTGCGGCAGTAGCAGCTGATGCAACCAATGAATTTAAAGACGATATGGACCTTCAAGAATTGATCAACCAATTCACGACTGAAAATGAGAACGCCAACTCTCAAGATACCTCCGGGACGATGGTTAAGTTCACTACCCATGCTCTTCGGCAGATCCAAACCGAGTCCAGTGGCGAGTGCCCTATCTGTTGTGAGGAGCCTATGATCGATCCTGCAGTAACAGCTTGCTGGCACAGTGCATGTAAGAAATGTCTTGAAGACTTCTTGCAACACCAAATGAACAAAGGTGTCGAAGCACGGTGCTTCAACTGCCGTGCTCCAGTGGATGCAAAGAATACATTTGAAGTAGTACGACATCCGTCCTCGAATTCAATTTCCTTCGGAGACGACACTGTCAGCAGCACACCAACAACCAGCTCACAACCTGCCCCACGAATCTCCCTCCGTCGCATATACCCCCTCTCTCCTTCCGCCCACACTTCAGCCAAGATCCACGCCCTTATTAATCACCTCGGACGCATCCCTGCAAATACCAAATCCGTTGTCTTCTCCCAGTTTACCTCCTTCCTGGACCTGATCGGCCCACAACTCTCCCGAGTCGGAATCTCCCATCTCCGTCTGGATGGTTCAATGCCCCAGAAGGCCCGTGCCGCTGTTCTAGCCGAGTTCACAAAAGCAGAGAGTTTTACCGACGACGACATTGTCGACATGGAAGATGATACCCTAGGGGGAAGCGGGCCTGCAAAGACTAGCTCTCCCTCACCCTCAACACCAGCCCCTACAGTCCTCCTCATCTCCCTACGTGCCGGCGGTGTTGGCCTCAACCTAACAAGCGCGAGCAATGTCTTCGTGATGGATCCATGGTGGAGTTTTGCAATCGAAGCGCAAGCCATCGACCGCGTTCATCGAATGGGCCAGACACGCGATGTCAATGTTACGCGGTTCGTGGTCAAGGACTCCATAGAAGGCCGCATGCTACGCGTGCAAGAGCGTAAAATGAACATTGCTGGCTCGCTTGGGTTGAAGATTGGCGGCGATGATGGTGATGCTGATAAGGGCAAAAACAGACTCGAAGAGTTGAAAATGTTGTTCGAGTAATTCTTCGGATGGCTTAAGGTCGCATGCTTCTATTTACACTTGGAATGCCCTGCTCTATAGGAGTAGTCAAATGCAAAATACCATGTATTTCCAAATTAGAAATCCCATTTACTTTGGATTTTTCCACTAACTTCTACAAGAAAGAACAACTTGGATAATTCAAATTGGATATTAATACACTCCAGAAATAGGCATGTCAAATAACGCATAATACAGACATCAGATCTCAAATTTTCAAAAAATAGCCAAAATCCATGTCAAGACATCGGAGGCTTCTTCACAAACATAATTCCACTTAGATCCAATCTAAATAAAGACATAGCCTTTATTTGCTCGAATGATGGATATGCTTCTTGACAGTCTCCTTCACCTTCGACATAGCACCCTGCTTCCCACTACCATGAGAAGAAGACTCAGACTTGTTGCTCAAAGGCGAATCATTGCTCTTCTCGCTAGATTCACTCGAAGAACCTATAACAAAAAAAAAAAGTCAGCACGGACCAAAACCAATACCGTCAAGGATATACGACGGGAAAGGGAGCACAGCAAGACGGGAACATACTCTTCTCAATATAATCCTCCTTACCCGCGGGCTTCTTTCCTCTATACTCCTTCTCGAAGACCTCAGCAGGTCTCGGTGCAGGACCCTGCGGGCCCATGAGCGCTTCCTTGCTCACTTCATGGGAATGTGCAGGACGGGGAGCGTCACTGCTCTCGCCGCCTTCGGCCTGCGAGGTACTGCGCTGTTCTTGATTGGAGCTCGAGTCATTGTCGTATTTGCTTTCGGTGGACTCTGTAGAGCCGCTGGAGATGGGCTTGTTGCTTTTGCTTTCGCTGGTTTCTGTAGGGTCGCCGGAGATGGACAGGGCCGGGGTCACGCTGGTGCAAGCGCTGATAGAGGTTGGAGCGTGGGGAGTGGTGATGCTAGTAACCTCGGAGTCTTGGGGCTTGTTGTCTATGATGGGATGCTGGGGTGCGGTGTTGGCGTTTGATTTGATTGCGCCGGGTTGCTCTGCGGTGTGAAATGTTAGTTATATTAGACGATTAGATTAGGGTGTTTTTGGAACTTGTAGATAGCATTATGGCAATCCAGGAATTGAGGCTTGTATATAAAACATATGTTTGAGTTGTACGTACCATCGCGGTTGCCGGCATCATAGGGATCTGTGGCACGTCCTCTGCCTTGGACACCGGAGATGGGTTCTTCGCCATGCTGTTGAGCTTGAGGGGAGTTGTCCTCACCCCAGATGATAGTCGAGGCAGCGTTGACGTATTTGTTGACAGTCTCCATGATTGTATTAGGTAAAAGAGAATGATAATAGTAGTTTGAGGAGATGTGTTAGTTTGTATATGGCTCGAAATGGGTATAACAAAATATTAAGTAGCAAGTGGATTGATCTCTTGGAAGTTCTGGGCAGGTCAAGCTTTAAGAACCCACAGATTGAGCCCTTGTTCAATACGTCAGTGGTGATGGGCTACGGTGGCTTGCACATGGATCATCCCCAGTTTTCGTAAGACCTCATTTGATTCCACTGAATAGTCAATGGCTTACGAATGAGAATCCAGTGATATAAATTGGATAATCGAGGAGCGGCGATCGTCTGGGCCTATGTCATAGGGTGACGTCATGTTATATATATCACGTGACATCATAGTACAGCAAGTCGTAATAGCAACAAGGGAGATCCATGCAAACGTACGGAGTAATAAGAGAACTAATATAATCAGCTCGTGTTATTCAATTGACCGATCTAGTAACATAATAAACATAAACACGGTCCGAATAAAAATCACCCGATGTCTAACGCTTAGCAAGAAGAGGAATGAACTTGAAACAAAGAAAGAACAAAGAAACTCCGACGAAAGTAAAAACAAATCTAGTCATGAGGTGTCGTGGGTGTAGGGGTAGAAGCTCCTTCCTTTGCATTTGGGTTCAAAGGTTGCGCTGGGTCATAACCGATGCTCTTCACAATTCCCAATCCTTTCGTTTTGCCCTCACGGAAGAGGACACGGTCCCCGGGAGCTAAGAATTCAGGACGCTGTACGAACCTGAACGCAACTAACGCTCGATCTCCGGTACGGATGAAAGGGCGGTCGATGTCAATGACCGAGCATGTCTGACTGACTGCTCCAACATGAAGCATAGCCTGGTATTTAGGCTTGATAGTAGTTGCATGAGAAAGAATTAGGACTATTTTCATTAGCATGTGGTCAATAAATTCCGAACGACCAACTTACCCTCCGCGACGAATTCCCGATACACCTTTGGAGGCTCCTCCATCTTCTTCAACACCACCATACCCTTGCGCACCTCCTTCCGGCGGACGCGCTTCAGGGCGAAAGATCCAGATTGACCGGCAAAGCAAGCATTCACCTGGATACGCTTGCGTTCAATGGACTTGATGACTGTGGTGGTAAACTGGCCAAGCGAGTCTGGTCCCACCATGACCGAGTCTCCGGCATGAATGACACCGGATTTAACCACACCTGAGACAACTGTACCCACATGAGGAACGGAGAAGGTGTCGTTGATGAGGAATTCGAAGGCTCCCGCAACGTCATATTGACCGCGATGAGGCAGGATGTTTAGGAAGGTCCGTACTAGGTCGAGGTTCTCTCCTGTGACATTGGACACTTGGAAGATAGGACATATCCGCTGGCTGACGAATTGTGTGGCCGTGTTAATGGTCTCCTCCATATCCTTGACGAAGATTGGAATCTTGCGCGCGCCAGGCGATTTGAGAATCTTGGTCAGCTGGGATAAAGTCTCCTGCAGAATATGGGGCGGGCAAATGTCAATCTTGGTGACAATGACCATGACAGGCACATTGAGGGCCAGAGCAATACCCAGATGCTCCTTGCTCATTCCGATCAGACCGTTATTGGCAGCGACCATCAGCAAGCAGTAGTTGGGGCTGCTGCTCAGCATACCGAAAACCGTGGTGCGCAGATACCGCTCGTGGCCTGCCAGGTCAGAGAAGGAGATGACCTTAGCAGAGCGATTGACGACGTCTTCCCAGGAGAACTTCCGGCCCTGGCCCTGGGTATTGCCAACTATTTCACCCCGACTGTCGAAGCCCATGATCTCCAACCCGACGGAGCTAGTTCGCCCGCTTTCGATCTCATGCTTGTGGCGGAACAAATTTACTCGCGCACGGCCACGTCCATCGTCAAGACCACCTTTCACCAGCACTCCCAGCGTAGTACTCTTTCCAGCATCGACATTTCCCACTACGGCAATCCGGAGCTCCGCCATATCCTCGATATTATCAATATGGTGGCGCACAAGGACCTTACCCCAAGCACCCTGTACCCGGTCATTGGTGACAGGCGATTCTTCGGGGCCTCCGACGTTGTAGGCCAGTAATACTCGGCAGTGGGCGGGAATGGTTTCGGCAGCTTCGCCCAGACGCTGCAGCGCTGTCTTCCACTGACCTTGATCGAAGCCCATGGATTCACCACCATCCTCCAACCCGAGATCGAAGATGGTTTCCCCGTGGCCTTCATCAAGGCGCGTTTGTAATGTCGCAGCTAGCACTTGCAGGCTATCTTCGACGGCATCGCTTGTACCGAGCAGGAGCTCCTTAAGCTTGGCTGGTTGAGGGGCATCGGACAGCCCTAGTTGGTCAAGAATGTCGAGCTCTGCGTGATCCTCAAGATCGCGCGAGACGCTGGCGGTGGAATATCCGCTGTCGCTAGGTGCGACTTGCCCGGAGCGGTGAGCTTGCTGTTTGTCGGCATACTCGGCGAATTCACTGAGGGCCTATGTGTTGAAGATCATGTAAGATGAGGAACTTTCACATCTTCCCTGGAAATACATACGACTTCACCTCGTTTTCGCTCCTCATGGCTTAGTTTCCTGGTTGCAGGCATAGTGTGGAGATGGTACGTGGTACGTTCAACCGTGTGTACTGCTCGCTGTGCCGCCTTTTTGGGGTAGTGACGTTATTGGTCAGTGGATCTGATCGCCGTTATTGTTGGCAGATGTGAAGATGTATTCGAGTGATCATAGTTTTCTTTTGCTCAATGAACAAAAGATAGAAGAATGCTCGAGGTATGTAAAAATTTGAAGAAGTGTTCCGAGAGTACATGGTAGGGGGACATGGGGGAGCTTTATCGATAAGTTGGAGTCGGTTGAGTCATCGACCATACCACCCTGCAGGTGGTTAGCGGAGAGCTATACCAGCCACAGTTGACCAGTGACTCAATATAAATTCTACTAGGAAGAACGTCGAATCATAAGGAATACTGTGACTAACAATTGCACAGCCTGTTTAGGCTCACAAGGCTATATCCAACTATATCCAACGGGACTAGTATGGATGATCATAAACCAATTTTCCATGGTATCGTTACCTATCTATGTTGACTGCATTTTGTGGTATCTCGTGTCCTTCCTAGTATTGTTCCCGTCGCCAGACGCCTTTCTCTCTATCAAGGGGCATATTAAGCCCGATCATGCCTGGGGGAGATCAAGACGACGGAGTCTCCTAGACAGGAATCAGCAACCCTCTCCAAATATCCCAAAAATGTTCCCTAATTTCTTCGACTCACCTCGCACGAAAAGCATCTCTTCTTGTTTCTTGATTGTCTGTATCCGAGAACCTAGATTAGCCCGTGCCCCGTGTAAACTCCCCAGATTCACATGATCCCATACCCGCAAAGTCTCCTCTTCGTTCTCATCTTCTTCCACCACGTAGATTGTCTCCTCCACATCGCCGAGAACTAGGTTGCAGTGACTATCGTAGGCCTGGAAACACATATCAGAGTCAGTAGGTATCCTGAAGATTGCCAGATGGGGCGTAGCTCACATGAAGGCGGCCCTTGAGTTCACGATCACCGCGCAGCTTCACGAAGACGGTCTCATCAAGGGAGAGGCGAACGAGATCCAAGGGCTCTGAGACGGATGGACCGCCGGTATCTTCAGTATCGGCCATGATAGAAGGGTGATTGGATTGGGTTAAGTGCAGGTCCACACACACACGCAGAATCAACGAGCTTTGGCTGATGCCTAATAGGGTTTAGCGTTAATCTTGGCAAGAAGTGAGATGAGTCAGCAATTTACCCCGGGTTTTCAAGTTTCGCGAGGATCCACTTGGGAAATCTTGACAGGTAAAGTAGTGGAGCAAGGGAATATCTACATATACACCTAAACTATAATTTAGTATAAGTTATCAACCACATATTACCTAGTTACAACCATAAAATCAAGTAATCCTAAATACTCTCGCCTAATTCATTGTGCGGTCCTGTGCTGACTTGGTTTGAAGCACAACCTTGGAACCTGCATGAAAAGTACCCTGTCAAAAGACCTGAGGTTAAAGCACACTTCCCCTCATTTATACCCCTGATGGTTTTGTGCTCTTTGGTTCCTTTCTGATTCTTGAAAAATACTGATCCCTTACTAAACTTTCCCTATGCGAAGGTTCTCACTTGCCGAGAAGTTCGCTTCTCGCTGGGGTGTCTCGTCTCGTCGTACAGACAGCATCGGCAAACGCAGACAGTTTCCCCCACATCATCATTTCAGTTGCCTTGGGCAGGTACTTTGCGTCGCGGCCTTTGCAAATACAACGACCTGGGATATTTCCGCACATAGAACGCCACAAACTTACCATCGCAATTCCATACGGCAATTGACTACGACAAGTCAACGATGGAACAGCGAACTCACTGTTCCACGTCCTGCAACTTTCGAGAGAATACCCCGACCACCTCTACCAAAATGGAGCTCACCCCAAGAGGAGGCCCAATATAGAGCGTACTTCTTCCGAGTCCTTGAGAACGGACAACCGAACCAAGTGAGGGAAGCCATGGCCAACCCACGGTCGGCAGAGCTAGTTGGATCGCTTGCACCAACCGTGTTTATCGAAGCCCTACATCTCCTCTCTCCGGCTCATTTCGTCATACCCTACCGAGATCTTCACCATACGCTGCACTGGTGGGTAGTGTTAACCCTAGGGCTCAAAACCTTGGAAGCGGTGTTCGACAAATTTACGAGGGACTTACTCACGATCATTCAATATAGAACCGTGGCTGGGCATCCACCTCAGCTAGCGGAGTACACTCACCTCTTCGACTGCGCTCAGGCGATGGGAAATGGCCCCTTAATCACTGCCCTCTGGGATGGGATGCATGCCAACAATGTTACTCCTGACGCCGTGTGCTATAATCACTATATGTCAGCATTGGTCTGGAACCACTGCTACATCGGAAAGGAAGAATACAATACTCGCATCACCCCTCACAGCTACAGAAAGCGGCGCATGATAGATCCAAATCCTGGATATCGTGGCTACGCAACGGGGTGGAACAGTGTCAAAGGAACTGTGCTGGACATATTCAGTCAAATGAGCCAGGACGGGTTTCCTGGGGATGTGCAGACATATATCAACGTCCTCCTCGCATCAGCCCGAGTCGGCGACATGAAAGCTATCAAGAATACCCTCAAGACTGTATGGAACGTCGATGTTGATGCCATCTTGGCTGAGGGGGATGACTCAAAATTGCCGCCGGTTACGCCCTATGACACTTGGTCTGGTCTGTATCCAACTGAACAGCTTCTTTTCGCTGTAGCCCATGCCTTTGGCACCAACAACGACATCTACGCCGCCATGAGGACAGTAGACTTCATGGCTTCCTCGTACAACATCACCATTTCGGGCAAGGTCTGGTCCGAGTTGTTTCAAAGGACGTTCGCTCTCTCCAAAGTACACAAGCGGACGCAGGCAGAAGATGGACGAAAGGGCCAAGTCGCAAGAGAGCTGGTCCGCGACATGTTTCAGATATTGACGACGGAGCCATACAATGTTCCAGCTACTGTGCAAATGTACCGATATATGACCCAAACCAACAGAATGGACGGCAATCTAGAGGCTTGCAAAACTGACATGCGTAAAGCATATGAAATCTTGAGCCAAACGAGGTCAAAAAGGAAGGAAGCGAGAGACACCGTTATGCAATGTATGCAACCAGTCCTACACAGCATGAGAGCACCACCGATGGACAACGGGAAGCAATCGCGGCATCCAATCCATTACCAACGATGGAAAGGCATGAAACCAGACCTGTCACTATTACAATGTCCCCTGCTTGCCGAAGCCATCAATACGTATGACCTCCTCCGGCTCGAAGTCTTCCAGCAGATTTATCAAATACAACGCATGGCCCATTCAGTGATCACCACCGATAAGTGGAGTGACATATCGCTCAAAGCCTGGGAGCTCCAGGAACGGCCCAAGCTGTTGGAAGAATGGAAAGACTTTCTGCCAGAGCGTATTAGATATGAATATAGAGACGGAGAGGTTGGAACCGTTAATTTCCAAGGCAATACGGGGCACAAGAGCCGCCACATGAGCCAGCATGGCCTCATTCATGCACGGCGGATACCGGATGGGTCGGAACTGTTCGAACCGGTTGAGCCCAAGGTCCTTGATGATAAGATATTCTGGGAAACCTTGCTCTATGTGTACCCCCAGCTGGACCAGTCTATTTCGCCGCTCAAACGCATCTACTTCTTCCAGATCAGGCAGAACAGAGCATTAAGGGACAAGCTCGAAAGGCTGAAAACATGGGTGGATTACCCGGAAGAGCATCCTTTGTCGCAACAGAATAATCCTTCTGGTGGGTTTTATGGTCGCCTTCATGCATTGGGCTTTCGTGCTAAACCCCAGAATTCCATTTTCTGGCGGGATAGCAATCCTTGGTGTTGATTAGCGGGGCTTTTTTTGTATCGTTTGAAACATTTGCGCTTGCCATTGATCAACCATGATATCAATTTGTACAATTTAATGAACAGTACGATATTCTCCTCCGTCGTTTTTCTTTTATATACTCTTTTCGTACTTGAAGGCATGTATGTCCATTATGAAGCCCCTCGAGTAGATGAGCTTTGTAAGTTGAATAGTAGAGATGAGTATACAAGAAGGCACATAGGCCTTGAGAAATCATATGCAGACATGAAGCGTGAAATATCAACGCAAGCAAAAGGCGATCAGCCAAAATGATACAAGATCTGAGCAAAAGTAGGACAGATCTGAAACTAGCCCTCCATCTAGGACATAGCAATTCCAAAACAGGAACAAGGAAAGGACCAGTCACCTAAACCTTCTCCCGCTGCAGGTCATTGACAGTCATATATCTCCCAATAGTGATCCACCCCCACCGGAACCAAACCATCTGACTCTTGTGGCAGTTGACCATAGCAGACAGCGCACTCAACCACTCATTTATTGAGCTAACAAACAACAGCCGCACAGGACCAGCCGCAGCCCCGGCCTCCTTCTTCCTCGACCCCGTCAACCCAGCAACGAGGTTACTCCACACACCAAGGAACATGGATACCGGCGCATCAAGGACACCCGCATATTTGCGGAACACCGACGTCGTAGTGAGAGTATACAGCGTGACGGGAGAAGTAAACCCCGCCTTATCCTTCATCAGCGCGCGGACGAAGTTCACAGCGCCGTAGTACAGCGAGCGGTGATTGGGATGATTACTGATGCCATGCTTATCGAAGGTAATGATGACATCGATAGTCGCGGTGGGAGCCTTATTACGATCGACACGCTTTCCCGGCAGCTTCTGCAGCGCAGCCATTTCAGGCGCGAAAGCCGAGGCCAGCAACGACGAGATCTGGTCCTCATTCCAGTCCTTGTCCATTCCATCCGGGAAGCGGCTCGTGTCGTCGACGATAAAGACGTCCGATTCACTGCGCAGCCCGAGCTGCTTCGCCGATTTCTGGAGCTCTTTTTTGCGTGTCTCGCCTAGGCCGTCTGCGTCGCCGCTGCTGAGACAGAGGATCTTCAGGTGGTTTCCGAGCTCGGGATTTGTGAGGGATAGTACGGTTGGCGCGAAGAACATGGCTTCGTCGTCTGGGTGTGCGATTAGGAGGCAGATGCGCTTGTTTTCGAGGCGTGGGAAGGACCGGGTGAAGGGTGAGGAGGAGGTTGAGGAGAAGGTCCAGAATATGAAGACTGCGGTTATGGCTACCGCTAATGCGGTCCAGTTGAATGAGGTCGACATTGTGGTGTTCGATTGGAGTGGTTTGTTTGTGAGAGCTGTCTGGAGGTTTCGTGGGGCTCCACGCGCCTCGTGGTTCCGTTTCTCCGTGTTCCGAGTAGGATCGAGGATCGACCTGGGGTGGGGATATGAGTTGCGTTGCTCAATTAGATTATTTCTGGGGCTGTAGTAATTGGGCTGAGACTGGTACAATGCAGTGCTCAATTGTTACGTTGGAATTGTTTATCAGGTGGATCAGAGTAGACCAAACTCAAGATATGTGTATGGTGGGGAAATGCGAATCATCCCACTCGTGTTGATGCAGGGGTCAACTACTTTTGGGGAGAAGTAACAGCCAATTCCATGGATGCTGGAGCAAACCAAAAAAGAACACGGTGGCTTGAGCTCCTATCCGGAATAGGAGAAGCTCAAGTGATTCCGATGACGATCCATCTCCGGAGGGGTCACGTGTTGGCTTGATCGCGATGCTCACATTCTCTCATTTCGATAAAATGGTAAATGAGGTCTAAATAGAATAAAATCCATATGATGTGCGTATGACGTATTTAATTCTCGTGTACATTTTTAGAAAGTTACTTAGCTATGGATCAGCTGTTTGTGGCGATCCAGTTGAAGTCAAGTGATGTTGGTTATTTTATACATCCATGGATGGTCATTTTGTGGGAGTTAAAGCCATATCGAGTGTGTATTCTATTTCTAGTCCGTGTCCGCAAGAGCTCATATATGTATCATGTAATGCATAATGGATAATATTTATAATACATAAAGCCAACTTTTCCCTAATTGGGCCGTTTCGAAAAGAAGAAAAGGTATGGTTCACCCTAGTACGTAGTATATAGCTTAGCTTAGCTCCCAAAGAGAGCATATGTAGAAGTGTCGGAAAATAAGCCAATCGGAGAAAAGAATATATTAGACCAGGAACCCATGAAAATCAACACGACTTTTATTCAATCGAGAAGCATTTTACTGTCCTCTCACTCAAATGTTATTTACTGGGCTTTGGATACCGCGAGTTTGCACCCACCTCTATCTTCCTTCGGGCTGTCATCCGTAGACGATCACAAACATACTTCCTTTGAGACCAACCTAGGATGGCCAGGTGTTGATGGCCTGTAAGGTAATGAGATTAATAGAGATCTCAAACTAGAAGGCAAGAAAGAGTGTAGTTGTGGCCTTGGCCCTGAGGCATCAGAAAATTGTATAGTTGGATTACGTTGTAGATCAATGGAGGCTCGTTGCTAGGTAACGCCTCTTGTATGCCTCATTGGGAAATGTCAAGGATGAGACTAATTCCCTCTACACTTTCGTCTTGCTTGAGACGTGGACTTTGTTAATAATTAGACCATTCTACTTCCCATCAACTTCGTGGTATTTTCTTTGCAACCAGTATCCTTCCTTAGATATGAATGAATTAGCTATGAGTCACTGCCCAGATAAACACTCTGCGGTAGCTCCCGAGGTCCTCGCTCTTCATATCATTTCACTTCCCATTTGTAAGAATGTAACGCCTGATGAAAGGCGAATAGATTGCGGAGAAAACCCTTAGAGACGCCTGGATTCTAACAACCCCAGAAGCCACTGTTTGCTTGTTCACCATACCGAGATCTGGTAAGACTTAGGCTGCTGATATAAAAGGTCTTATTTAAAGTCTATTCTCGAGCGCCACAAGGCTAAAACGAACAAAGGTTAAGTATTGGAGCTACATACTTTTCTCTCTCTCTTCTAGACACGCTTGCAGGATTCGTGTTACATCGCTTTGGCCAGCCAACTATGGAGTACAAAACCAACACAACACATATTCCTTGATTTTGATAGACGAGTCTGGCCCAAACCAATACACGAATCCTTTCCACACCGCCAGCCAAATCGAAGCCATTCCATCAAACCGGCTCACGGGCCGGTCTCATAACGATCGCCTCATTGCCAAGCTAATGGTTAGCTAATTGTTACCCCAAGGGACGGCCGTCTCCGACACATAATCTAGAAAAAGTCGAAACTACGGTTTCCGCCCCATCTAGGGTGGAGTGGATTCCACGCTATAGTATATTCTTTACTTAAGCCAAGATAAGGGAAAAAACACTTAGGGCAGAGTGTGAACCAGGGACGAGAGTTAGTATGGCGGGCCGTGAGTGGTGAGGCTAAATATCACGTTGCGACGGGCCGAGTATAAAGTTCCGAGTGGATGACCGACAGAAATTTTCTGCTTTCCCGCGCTTAAGCGGCCCCCCCGACCTTTCTCCGTGCGGAACTAATTTTTTTTTTTTAATTATTTGTTGAATTTCAGTTGGTTTTACTAGTTTTGCGCTTTTAAATGGCGCCATTTATAGAGCATTTATAAAATATGTGGGAAAAGTGGAAGTAATTTCCTTTGGGGTTACACGATGTATATCACATCGGCTGAGGTACATATATCACTTCGAAAGGATGTGATTATGACGAGATGGCGTTATTCTCACATGGCATATGGCTTAATGAGCGGAGCACGTTTCTCCACGATATACCTTGTACATTTTTTTCTTACGGAGTATCATCGAAGGAGTTAAAATTCGGCAAGTAATTAAATGCCAAATCAGAATAAAATAAAAATAAAAAAAGAGGCGGATCGAAGAGCGGCAGAAACAGATCGGAGGGGCAATCCGAGATCGCCCCGAAAGAGGAAGTTCGCCTGAGACGCTTGCCGATGTCCCATTTAGCAACAATTATTGGTTAGTCCTTCCGACGAGACACCGGCGGACGACAGCCACTGATTTGTGATCGTGACTCCGAGCTGTTGATCCAGCATATTAACCATAATGATCCTAGCCTTGACACTGGTATACCACTTGTAGCCAGTCCGTGGAGAAGGAGAGATAAAGAAGACAGTGTGGGTCTACTTTCTATAATCTGCTAAAAGGGAAATAGACTCTATCACGCCTTAGTATTTATTACCTAGATTGGGATAATTTTGCGCCATATAAGATCGATCTACTTCAAAGAGCGCACATCATTAAATCTGAGATGCACCAACAGCTGACGTGCCCGGGGTTGCAAGAAGAAAGCGGAATTGCATCACCGCATCCGCGTTCCCAAACCCGATACAGCTACAACACATGCCATGGCGTGATCAAATCCCTCAGCTCACTCTGGAGCTCCGAGGAAACATCTGCGGCTCCATAATGCCGTGGTGCCGTACTCCGTAGTGAGTCAGGAATCCTGACCGGACGCACGACCCTAAACAAGCCGCAATTCTTCAAGCTCCCTGCATGCACCCAATGTGTCTGTGCTGCAGCTCCAGTACCTGGGCACCCTGCGCGCGAGGCCGATGCTTATAGGTGAGGATGAGCGGTTAACTGCTGCTGATGCTGTTGCTGTTAGGTAATTAGTGTGCGCGGCGGGGATGGTGATTCGTCAGGGGGCGGACCTTGGGAGCACGGAGCATATCTTGACAGTTGAAGGGCTAGAACCTTTTGTTTTAGATGTTGATCATTGTACATTGTACTTTATATGGTATATTTTGATATGCTTCACTTCTGATGTTCTTTTCGTTTTGCTTTTTCTCAAGGGGGTTCACAGATCTCGCAATTGCGCAGGCCTGTGCCCCGCAAAATGCAAGCCTTGCAGTGCGGGGTAGAGGCGTATAGCATAGACGAGCGCCGTGGCCTTGAAAAAGGGCAATGCGTACCCCCTATAAGCGTAAGACTCCTATAGTCCACTTTTATAGATCAGACGACTGACCTTCTATTTAGGCGGTCAACGAAAAGAAAAAGAAAAGAAAAAATTTTCCGGGTGGAGCTCCGCGAAGGGGTCCTTTTCATCGCGTTTTGTTGTCCCAATGCGGAAAGGTGGACTTTATTTAGGGGCGACGCTAGTCGAAGATCCTCTGGAAGAGTTGATGGCCTGTATGGTAATGGCTCGGTATGGTATGGTTTGTCATTTACCTCAGTCTAGACAACTCCGCTATGTCGGTCTATTACTGTCATTCTACGCCATCACGCCACGTGATGGCTTTGTCTAACCTTGGATACACCTTAAACTGTATACATAGCTTTGTACTTTGTAATAATGAAGTATTAATAGACAGCTGATGAATCAATGTTTTAGAAATTCGAAGAGCAATAATGAAACCAAAGGATATATGCCTGCAGGTCGTCGTGGCACTTCCAAGGTCAAGATACTAGGAGTCAAAGATACCCCTCGGGCACACCTCCGTGTTTGTCATATAGGGCTATGAAGTGCTTGATAATCTAAAACCGGGGTTTTTTCCAAGGTTCCCTATAGCAAAGGTACGGACGATCTTGTCATTGGTCACATTGGTCACATTGTCTATACAGCTAGGTTTCAAGACTGTCGATTGAACCCCGTGGGCAAACCCCCGGGGCCACATGCTAAACAAAGTCCAATGCCATCTGTATAGGTACCAAGCCGAGTATGCCATCGCAAAGCTATCCGACCGGTTTAGCCGAACCAGTACATACATCGTAGGTACGTGAGTCATTGCGCACGGTCGTTTTGCGCTAAGGCTGGAAGCCAACAGTGGCATCATGTGCTCCCATCGACTGCCCTGATAAGGTCTAGCCTGGGATTTACTGATGGTTCCTTCGTGATCCAAACATGATGCCGACACTATTATTGAGATGTGGGGTAGAAGCCGACAAGTCAGGCGATGGCAAACGTTTATCTTGTTTAACATATATTCCAACCTTGGAAGTACTTCGTATAGTTGTCAATCCAACAGAAAGTTCGGGTTCTTTGTCTGGGCATCAGACCCCCACTACCCGACATTGTAAAATGAGATGATGCCATATTTGAATGAGGCCATGGGTAAAATTGCGACTTGGCGGAATAGGATGATCTCAGAATAACAAACAAATTCCATCAAATTATAGGACCTTGGAGGGGTAAGATCACGAATGCAGTGTCTTTTTGGGTGTCATTACAATGTATCTGTATTGTCAGACCCCACTATGACGCTGTGCCACGCCCCACCAGCTAATTTTTTTTTCTTTTTTTCTTTTTCTTTTTCTTTTCTTTTCTAATTGAATGCGCCGGTACCTGGCAAGTGGAAACAGCAAGAGAAAAAAAAAAAAAAAAAAAAAAAGAAAATTCAATTTTTATGGTTTCATTTTTTAGTTTTTTAGTTTTCCACGGGTTCAGTGAATTAGCACATGATTGTTCTTGCCATTCAAAAGCGGCGGTTTGCGCACTTGACGTTGGATTTCTTCTGTAGATCATCTTCCCCTACATACTTTCAGGGACTCATATTATGTGTTGGATTGCTTCGTCGGCTTCTCAATTATTTCACCACCGTACTGCCTCTTGAACATACGAAGCCTATCACACATCCTCTAATTGAGCGCCTACAGTATAATTGACAGCCAAAATGCCCGGCCGTCTAATCCCCAACCTGATTCGGAACGCTAGTTCATTACACTCCTCCGTCACCTCGACTCCTAGTCACTCGAACTCCTCCTCAACCGTTTCCGTCAATGAGATTCCCGCACATGCGAAGAAGCCAACCCACAAGTCAGAGCGCGCACGATCCCCCGAACGTCGTCTATCTTTCTCCATGGATCACTTGATTCACCCTCTTCGGGACCATAGCAAGGAGAAGCGCCGCAGTTTGGGACGTGCAGGACGTTCTAAGGAACGCTCCAGCCATGAGCCGCATCCGCCAGCGGCGAAGCTGGATGTCCTGATCGAGTCACCGCCACTGGTCTGCTACGGCCCACCTACCAGCTCTACTGGCGCGCTATTCTCTGGACGCTTGCGCATCGCAGTCTCTGAGTTGACTGGTGGAGTTACCTTGAGCCAGTTTGATGTGCGCCTTGTTTCTAAGACGAGCACCAAGAAGCCTGTCTCGAACCACTGCTCCAACTGCGCTACTCGCACCGAAGAGTTGACCCAGTGGAACTTTATCACCGAGGACCTTCACCTCAATGGCGGTGACCACGACTTCCCCTTCAGTTACTTGTTCCCCGGTCATCTTCCTGCTTCTTGCAATGGTGTGCTGGGTCAGGTCGAATACTTCTTGCTGGCGCATGCGCGCAGCGTCACCGGAGAGGAATATAGCCTCAAGCTGCCTTTGGACATCAAACGTTCTCTGCTTCCTGGGCCAGACAAGTCCTCCATCCGCATCTTTCCTCCAACTAACCTCACTGGCCGCATTGTGCTGCCCTCCGTCATTTACCCTATCGGACACTTCCCTGTCGAGATGACCCTGAGCGGCGTGGTTGACAAGGGCGAAAAGACCCAGACCCGCTGGCGTCTTCGAAAGATGATGTGGCGCATTGAGGAGCAACAGAAGATTGTGTCCACTGCATGCCAGAAGCACGCTCACAAGATTGGCGGCGAGGGCAAAGGTGTTTTGCACCAGGAGACCCGCGTCATCGGACACAATGAGGAGAAGAGCGGCTGGAAGACCGACTTTGACACCGCTGGTGGTGAGATCACCATGCAGTTCGATGCGAACATCAACCCGGCTGCCAACGCCGTCTGCGACATGGAGGCTCCTGGTGGTCTTGAAGTTAAGCACAACCTCGTCATCGAGCTTATCGTGGCCGAGGAGTTCTGTCCCAATGGCAACACTCGCTTAATTACCCCAACTGGTGCTGCGCGCGTGCTTCGCATGCAGTTCCACCTTCACGTCACCCAGCGTGGTGGTCTTGGCATTAGCTGGGACGAGGAGATGCCTCCAATCTACGAGGATGTTCCCGCTAGCCCTCCCTGTTACACCAAGCCCGATGGCGCCCACAGCTTCATTGAGGACTACCACGGTTCTCCCCTCCCTGACTACGCAGACCTGGAGCGCATAGACTCCCTGCGATTGGACAGCAGTTCTACTCACTCTTCTACCATTTCTTCCAATCGGTCCACTCACGGCTCTACGCATGGCCGCTTGCCACGCTTTACCACTGACGATCTCGTCACTGGGGAGTCGCCTGCTGCCTCGCCTATTCCCTCGCGCGCCCCTTCTCGTGCTCCTTCAATTGACTCCTCCCGCGAATAAAATATCAAAACCCCCAACATGTTTAATCAGCTATCTTGATTATCGTTCTCCATTACGACTTAACGATTCCCACGATCAAACAAAAAACAACCCAGTCACAACGCAACGCCTTTTCACGGTCTACCCTAATTTCTTATTTCCCTTTCATTCTTCATGAATTTGATCCGGTTCACTTATCACGGTCCCATCTCAACGAAGGGACTCATGATATAGCGACGGCAAAGGAAACCAGCCACGCAAAATAGTCGGGCTGCCACGCATTTTCCGGACGGGTCTTGTTCTAGCCAATGTTTACATGATACCCATTCAATTTTCTTTACTTGTGCACAATGCCTTTTCTCTATTTTCCACCTTAGTTCTACCTTTGGATTGGTTTGGGTATGGGCTCACTTGCATCATATCCACATCTTACTCTTCCATTTGGGGTTCCAAGGTTACGATTCTTTTCCGTTTTGAGTATCTTGCTTCATTCAAAAATTTTCTACTCCTTGATACTTAATCAATTCATGATCATGATCTATGACAAGTTTAATTCAATCCCAGTAATTGTAATCAATGTAAATACTATTCACCAACTCTGCTCTATCAAATATCTCAGGACTTGGGGATATGTACTATCTTGGATATCTTAGATACTAGAGTACGAGCATAATTGTCTTGCTACTCAATTTCTCTAATAATACACGATTCTAGTCTGTTAAATCCAATATACACAAATGAGAGAAATTCCAGCAGCCACTCTATAAAAACCACACCAAAGCCTCCCAACAATCACCACCCCTTCCACGGAACCCACGTCTCCCTAACAATATCCTGCTCATCAACAACATAATAAGCAAAATGCATAGCAGCCGTAATACAAGCATGCTGAATATATAACAAAACCTTATCCCCAATCACAAACGCATCCTCCACCTTCTCCCCATCGACAGACTTCGACCCAATCTTCTCAATAAGCCTGCGCGCCTGATCAGACTCCACTCGCCCCAGAATCCCATGTTCCTGCGACATCCGCACAACACTCCACTGAGGTCGATCAACGACAACCCCAAACCCGGGGAACTCACTCGTCTCCTTCGAAAGCGCAATAGTCCCCGCGTTAACGAGCGCCTCGTTGCGCTCAGGATACACGCTGCACACATCAGCGAGAATTCGCACCGCCTGTTGTGTCGGTTCCACAAGTGAGGTGGCTACTTGTTGGAGGTCGTTGGTGGGGTAATTTCCTAGCATCGTCTATATCAGGTTCTCTGCGGTTTAGGTAGTTATTACGGATCACACATACCAGCATGTAATTCCAACTCCATCCCCTCGGGCAACGTGCCTTGCAGTCTTTTCACAACATGTGCGGTTGGCGTTGATCCCACCGATACCACAATCCGTCTATCGGATGCCCCATCTACCAGCACCTTGGCTGCTTCAACTACACCCTCGACTTCGGTCTGGAGCACCGCGGCTGCGGCATCTTCTGTGCGACACGCATATGAGTGCCCGGCATGACAGTAGAAGCCGTATACAGTGGCTGCAGACGATGATTCAATGCGTTGGATTAATCTCAGGATGGATGGTGAGCCTGTTGCCATTCCCGCGCGCTGGGAGCCGACGTCAATCTTGATAAAAACGGGCCATTGTGCTACGGGAGAAGATGATTTCGAGGCGTAACATTCGAGGAGATCTATCTGCTGCTCGCTATCGATCATCAGAATGATCTTTAGGGATTTGGTTAGAGTTTCAAGGAACGGTAGAGCGCTGGCTGAGACGGGTAGACCATAGAGACACTGATATGATTTTAGTTGATATTTCTTTATTGAGGAGTAGTTACTGGGACTCACCTCGTCTAGTTTGCCTTCTTTAACAAGATCCAATGAACCCCGGATCTCGGATAGGGTTGATGCGACGATCCGGCGGTACATGCCGTCACCTAGCATCATGCGGGTGACCTCGGTACACTGCAAGCCCAATTCAGTCAGTACATTGCTTGGGGCTTAAAACTGTATGGGAACTGTACCTTGAGAGTCTTGACATGGGGCCGGAACTCAATTCCCAGCCGTTTGACATCTTCTAACAAGATTTGGGTGTTTCGCTCCAGCACGGGCTTACTTAGGACGAGAGCCGGGGTTGGAAGCTCAGAGACCGGACGGCCAATGTAGGAAGCATGGTTTTGTAGGGAATAATCCATTTTTGATAGGTGTAGCTGAAAGCACAGGGGTATCAACGGAGGATTCCAAGGTTTATATGAGCCGTAGTGGGGCTATCGATAAGAGGGCGTGGGGGCATGGGACGGTTTCTTCCGAGGATAATATAGGGGGTTGGCATTGACGGGGAGATTGTGACGTGAGAGGCATTTTGAGGGACTGGGCAATGTTGTATTACCATTCATAGTTCGTGGTTTGATGAACGATTAGGGAACTTGGATCTCATATCATGAAGCGTGATATAGAGTGTGTAAGTAGAACCGGCTCCTCTATAGATATGTAGCTTGAAATTGTATCACAGAAACGAAATGAATCTTCATGTGTATTCGGCATTTAAATAGATAGACAAAGGAGGTCCTCTCTCTCTCTCTTCCATAAAAACCGCGCAGTTGCCCATATGTGAATATGGACAAAACTCGATGCAAGCTTTATAATAAACCATAAAATTGGATTTCTTTCATTGACCCAATCTCGGGCTGGTGCTAGTAGGTTGCGTAGTTGCGACGACCGGTGCCACCTCATTGGAGGTTGCCAGTTGGGAACCAATACCTGCGAAATGTTCTATATCTTCTATTAGCTTTGCATATTCGAAATCAAACTTAGAAAATCAATTAACGTTATAGGCTTTCCTTGCAAGGAATATAACAATTGGCTTCAGAATCTCGTTCATGATCAAGCCGACAACACCGGAGGCAATGTAGAACCGTATCCATAGCCATCCAAAAGTATTGACTAATTCGACAGCGTGGTCAAGGAGGTAAAGAATCAGTTGCTCCCTGCAGTTTTTGTCGACGGAAGAGCTAGGAGGAGTCGTACTAGAACCAGCTTCCATTGCTGGAAGTTTTGTGCTAGGAAACCAGCTATGGGAGGTCTCAGCATTGTTTGCGAGGAAAGCGTCTGGCCAACAAGAACTTACTATGAAGCAACAAATATGATGCTGAGTATCAAGAATGGGAAGAGTGGGAAGAGGCAACGGATGAACTGAAAGACATTCATATTGTATCAGTGGTAGTGTATCAGCAGTGAAGTATCGGTGGTGAGGATGTCAAATGGTGAAGTTGTTGTGGTCGACAGTAAAGATGGGAAAGCCTGGAAGGCACGAGTTCCTGTCACATCAACTGTGCTCATCTGAAGTAAGTGCGATTTGACATCACCTGGGTAGAGTTCACATGAGATTTACCCTTGTGGACCTTGTTGTCTTTGTTTGATCCAACTCTAAAGCTACGTATATACCTAGTATCTATGCCGAAAACCAATGAGCTACTAGGAACAGTTGATTCAAATCAATCGTTTGGTGATGATCTCTCCATCTCAAAGCCCTTTGCCTCATCTACAGAGAGATATCGAGTACATCTTGGCTACCCATTCTCTTTCCATTAATCACTCTGGCGTCGTCATGAATGGAGCCTTAGCCAGGGCATTTGCCTGTCTCTTCCATATTGCCTTGCCCAATTTCACAAGTTGGGGTCCAAAATCCTCAGGCAATATTTCTACAGATGGGCCTTTATCCAAGGTCAACTTGCCGTACTCTTCATCGGAGCCAAACGTAGCAATTCGCCAGATTTCCTTCCACCGCTTGACTGCTTCGACAGCCTCTGGGTGTTGGCTTTCCACGTTGGTAGCAACCATGTAAAAGGATGAGCGCTTGGCATGACCTTTCTTTGGCTTGAAAAGCTGAACCGAGGAGATTTTGTTAAACATCCAAATGAGGTTGGATGTGTTCCACGCTTCGAGTCTGTGAAGAAGAACGATCATAGTGCCACCAGGTCTAAGGTGCTGGAGACCCAGAGCAAGTTGCGTGGTGACCAGTCTTTTCGCTTCCCGGCTCTCTCGATAGGGAGCGCGTGAATGTTGTCTCAAGACCTGGCCGTCACATATGACCAAATCGAAAAGCCGACCTTCCTCAAGTTGCCGGGGCAAAAAGTTTTCAGAATCTTCATGGCCCTCAGGGATCTGGTCTACATCCATGTCGGCAGCAAGCATAGTCACATCGAGAAATACTCGCTTCACATTCAAGCTGCTTGACAGACGGCTCCTATACCCCCCACAGGAGACAGGTAAGCTAAAGGCCAGAGCGTGTGAGCCTGGGTTCTTTTTCAATGCTATCTCCAGGAATGCACCGGGGGCCATGCAGATATCGAGAATGGCAGGTGGGGTTGAATCAACCGGTTGGATTTTGAAGGCATTTGTGGCTTTGTCAATTTCGCGTCCGATCGTGCTCATAAACTTGTAGAAGTAAGCCGACGTCTTTTCGTCGGACTTATCCGCATTTCGACGAAGGTTTGCGAAGTATGTGTCGCCTTCCGGGGCTTCCCATCCCTGTTGGCAGCATAGTTAGAATTATGGGTGTATGATATCTGGGTTTGATGTGACTTACCCGCTGTCTTACATCAGTGAGTTCTCGGAACTCTGGGCTCTTTTCTAGCAGGTATGGTACAACGGAATTGCTCTTTTCGGCAACATCCTCCATAAGGTCTTCAGTCGGGTGAGGGCTGTTGGAATGGCTACCAGGCAGGGGAGCTGGGGCTTCCACCTGTGGATGGCTTGGATTAACTGCCGTCATGATGTGATTCTCGAAAGGCTTGGTAATAGGTCTGGTAAAAGGATGTGTTGGTGAAACAACACAAACTAAGTTGAAGATGATTCATAGGTATATATAATGTCTTTGCGCAAGATGCTGGTATCTTCCATTATTTGTTCGATCGTCTGTTACATTGCATAATGTATACTATAGTACCCAGGTTTATAGCGTCCAGGGCTCATTTCACTAGATCAATGCCCAAAAGCCGGCCTGACTTACGCCTTAACCATGCCTGATATTAGTTAGACCGCTTTTAAGCCTCAATCTACAATGTACCGTAAACCATTCGGCATGTAACAACTATCATGCCCGGTATATAGAAAAATGAAGCTTTTGATCCCATACGAAATTTAAATACCTCCATTTCTAGTATTTTTACAATCGCACGTTGCAGATATTTAAATTTTGCATGGATCAAGAGCTTCATTTTACTTTCCTGTCTAAAGCCGGTAGAACCAGGATAAATTGCTTGATAAGGGATCTTTAATTGTATTTCAGGTATCTTCATTTTTCTGTCAGGCTAAAATCAGGCTTTCGGGCATTGATCTAGTGAAACGAACCCTGGACGCTATATACTTGGGTAACCTTTATGTATACCTAAAATGACATGGTAAGGCCGCATAAGCGGCTGACTATTCTTATATACCCAGAGACATAATTGTCAACTTAATGTCATCAGCAAGATGAAGCTTATATGTATATTTTAGGTGACCAAGATACTTGCTCAACCTAGAGACAGCAGAGTTAGGGCTACGAAAAAGATTTTTTTGGGTTTGATTTCATTGATCAAGTTGTTTGTTTTTTATTATCTGTTTTTGGTGTATGAGATCTCATGAATTCACATTGAGGAAGAGCAAGCATGGACAGACAAAGGAAAGTTAACAACAAGGAAAGCCGTAATAAAAGACGCTAAAGATGACAAGACAAGGATATTCCAACTCCAAGAATGTTATACATGATAAAAATGCCCTTGCATGGGACTCCGACGATGCAGTAATGGGAATGGGAAATGAAAAGTGAAAGTTCGCCATGCTGTGTGGATGCAGTTAAGAAACAGGCAAGGGAATCATAGTCCCTCACCACGGAGAAGGCGCCGAAGGATTCCTTCACCGGGACCAGCAATCTGGCCCTCGATTTCCTGCTGGGAAACAAAGCAGACAAGACCTTGCTCGTCAAGGGCCTTGTGAGGAGTCGAAGGTGCATGGCCGGATTTTGAAGGTGTGCGGCGCAGATCTGTGCCACCTGCAACAGTTCCGCCTCGGCCGCGACCCTGATATTCTCCAACCAAGCCCATTGTTTCCAAATTGCTGAGAACATCTTTGAACTCGGTAGCAGTCAAGGGGTGCAGAATGTTGTCATTGCGACACAGAGCACAATATGTATCAAATGCTTGCTTGATAGTGGGTGCCGATGTACGCGACTTGGAGGGCGTGCTTGGGACCTCCAACTGACGGCGCTTGCGTTCAAGCGCAATCAGAGAGCAGATAGCAGCCTTTTGTTGCAGGTTCAAACTTTGAAGTCTTTGAACAGTGCCCTGACCGAAAGCTGCGGATGTGATTCGGGCAATGTGAGCGATGCTGGCTCTAGGTGCCGTGATGACTGTGTAGCTTGACATAGAAGTTGGCTTCGGAGCACTGCCGACTTTGGAAGGCGAAGACAAATTGGCATTTTCTCCTAGTATCGAAATATTCTCAGACTCCTTAGCTTGCTTATCCAACTTTTGGAATGTTTCCTGTTCAATGACGTCGATTGCCCGCTTGATCAACTCAAACGCCTTGCGGAGATCACCTGTCTGCGAGGCTACCTTCTTGGAGCAAAGCTGGATGGCGGCAGGTTGTACAAAAGGGACAAGCTTTGGGTCGGATTCTGCCCCAGCAGGGAGCAATGAGCGAAGACGATTGGTCATGACATTTGCGATAGATGCAGCACTGTAGGGCAAGAATGGCAGCAAGCGGGGTTTTAGGTTCTTCGCCTTTAACTGTGGGAGAGATCGGTCGGTCAAATCGAGGGTGTTAGCGATGCCAATCAGCATCAGCTTAGACTTGCTTTGCAACGACCACTCGAAAAGTGACTGTAAAACCCCTGAATCACCATTGAGCAGATGGTCAATTTCGTCTAAGGTGACCAGGAACATATCTTCCCCTTTCTTAGATGGAATGAACGTAGATTTGAGGCGCTCCCCCTCGCTCTTCTTGAACATATCCGAGTCCTGGCAGAAATCTTGGATGAGTCTGCTGTAGACATCGCGAGAAATTCGCATGCTTGCGCAGTTCACATGCGAGACTTTGACTTTAGAAAGATCAAGATCTCCACACACTTCCTGGACCATGGCACTTTTTCCGGTTCCTGGGGGACCGCTGATATAAAGACACCCTCCTTCCCGAGACTCCACTCCTTCTGTGATAAAAGATACCAACTTTTCCCGCTCTGCATCGCGTCCCACTAAGCGTCCCGAGTTGGAGCCTCGTGCGAACAGTTGCCTAGCTTGCGAATACACCGAGTTCGTAATTTTCGGAGTGGCACTCTGTCTGGGGGTCGGGGGAAGATCGGCATGGCGGGGGTGCGCGGTGTTACAGCCTTTGCGCCGACCTGCACTCGATGTCTAGGGGTGATGGGAGATTGCGGTAGATCATCCCGGAATCGCGATTTGGAAGGTGTCTTAAATTCGAACTCGATCGGTTTCGTAATTTCTTCTGCACATCCGGTTAACGCTGCCTCAGGCGCCACATCCCAAAATTTCCAACTTACCTTCCACTGGTTTTGAGACGGTGAAATGCGAATTGATCTTGACCGGAGATTTGAACTGGTCATCACGCAAGGTATGTTTAGAAGCAACATTCTCCGACACTGCCTTGCTCTCGCCATTTTCTTGGTCGGGTTGCTCGACTGTTTTCTTTACAGTTGACCTTGTTCGTCGTAACGGGGTTGGAACGGCGTCCAGTTGGTGAGCCCGGGGAGCAACTGTTCGGCGCTTGCTCGCGGTTCGGACCGGCAATGCTAGGAAGGTGGGTGAGAACTTGAAGATAAGGAGCAGGGGAAGGTGGGATGGATGATCTTACCAGAGTCCACAGCACCACGAGTGCGCTTTCCTAGGACTGTTCCTGCCATGACTTGGAACACACAAAAAAATACAAGGTAGGAACAACAGACGTAGTTTCCGTAGGAGTTAAAAAGAAGAATGTCAGGAAAGAAGGCCCAGAGCCCAGTTAGGAAGTGTAATTGGCAGCTCCACTACTGGGGCTTTCCACGCGCTATACGCGTCGCGCGTAGAATTACGGCCGAGCATATTAACCACGCGTGCAACATTTTCAAGACTTAGTCAGCCGCGTCACTGCCGGGCTCAGGTGGCCACCTCAGGTGTCGATGATCGTCTCATGTGCGTTTCGAATCGAGATGACGGAACTCTTTCAGCCTACGTGAAGCTGGACGTTCCTTTTCTTTCTCTATTCTCCCCCCTAATTCCCGTCAACTTCTTTTGTGGGACCTGTTGATCTTCTGGTTTGCAGTGGTTTGCACCAAATCTAGCTCCCCACATAGCGCACCTTCCGAGTCTTTACCCCATTTCATACTACGCCTAAGCTTTCAGTGGGTATCCAAAGTCAATCCTTTTCAACCTTCATCTCTAACATTAAGATCTTTCCCAGGGAACCTCCTTCATACACTGCCCACCATGGATAACGACGTGGTAGCTCAGTTCACTGAAATTACCGGCTCCACGCCGGAGCTGGCCATACAGTACCTGCAGATCACCGAATTCCAAATCGAGCAGGCCATGCAGCTTTACTTTGAAAGTGGAGGCGCACCCTTGACTGGTGAACCTTCTCGGCCTGCTCATCGGGCTGGGATCCCAGACGATTCTGAGGTGGTGAATATTGACTCGGACACTGATGACGATACTCCCCGACACTCCACCCTGCCAACATTCGATGACGACGAGGCTATGGCTCGACGCCTTCAGGAGCAAATGTATGGTGGCCCAGGTGGCCTAGATACTGAAGAAGAAGTGAGAGCGCCTATGGCGCGGACAACAGAGACTTTGGTGGGGCCCGGGGCGGACTATGACAGTGGTGAAGACATGCACGCCAATATTCTCAGCCAACTACGAGCTCGTGGAAGACCTGGTGGGTGTTATTTGTATTTCCAAAATTTCCAATAACTTGATCTGACAAATTACTCTAGGCCGAGCCGGAATCTTCAACCAGCAAGAGTCGTCTTCGATATGGACGGGCGGCGATGAAGCTCGTCGCGAAGCACTCTCCGCCGCTACTGGGGGCGCATCGGAAGCATCGTCCAAATCCAACATGCTCGCCGAAATGTACCGACCTCCCTTCGAAATCATGTCACGGCTGCCTTGGGATGTGGCGCGCGAGGAGGGGAAGGATAATGAGAAATGGCTGCTTGTCAATGTCCAGGATGCATCAGTCTTTGACTGTCAGGTCCTGAACCGCGATTTGTGGAAGGACCCTGGGGTACAAGATACCGTCAAGGAGCATTTCATTTTCCTGCAGTATTCGAAAGATGACCCCCGTGCATCTTCCTACCTCCAATACTACTTCCAGGGAAGCGACGTCTCCGACAATTATCCCCACATTGCTATTGTTGACCCTCGAACTGGTGAACAAATGAAGGTCTGGTCTGGACCGCCTTTGGTCAAGCCCGCCGACTTTCTCATGCAGCTTCACGAATTCCTCGATCGCTACAGCTTGAACCACAATGTGCGCAACCCTGTCGCTAAGCGCAAATCCGACAAGAAAGATAAGAGCATTGATGCCATGACCGAGGAGGAGATGATGGAAATGGCCATGAGAAACAGTCTTGGGGCCGCAGCGGAAGCTGGTCAGACGGTCGAAGACCCTGATGAGTTGACGCGCAGTACAGACAATGTTAAGGGCAAGGGCCGGGCTACTGATGAGGAAGATGTCATCATGGATGAACCGGAGCTAGCTGCCGAAGCCTCCCCATTCGCATCTATTCCCAACGACCAACCACACACTGAACCTGCTGCCGACCCGGCCACAACTACTCGCATTCAGTTCCGACACCCGTCTGGCAGAGTCATTCGGCGCTTTTCATTGTCGGATCCCGTTCAGAGAATCTATGAATGGCTCAAGGCTGACCCTCCCTTGGAAGACAAGGCTGGTATCGAGTTTGATTTGAACAGCATGGGGCGCAATCTCATTGATCAACTTACCACGAGCATTGAAGATGCAGGACTGAAGAATGGCACAGTGATGATTGGATACTTGGAAGAGTAATCTTTTCCCTTTCTCCATATTTCGGTCTTATCATCATGCTACAATGTTTTCTGAATTTCTGCAAGGCGTTGATGGAAATGAATTGGATCCCGTGGGATCTCACCTTTGTTCCCAAGCTGGCTTTCGTCATTCCCGGGGATATCATTCAATTTAACGGGCTCTCTAGTTGCCACTGCCAACCTTGAGACCTAGATGTGAGAGTACATAGTACCAAAGCTTGCCTGGAAAGCATGCAATGAATCATGATAATCAAAATAGTGTCAACTTGAGAAATTACATACGTAGAGCTGTTCTGTAGATTGGCTTGAGGATAAAGGAATATTTTCTAGATAGTTAATAACACCTAGGTATATTTAAAGGATGAGCTTGATCAACTAGAAACGTAGTATAAGCTCCCAAATATCCAAAGATGTCTATATAAAACATGAGAGAACGTGAAATTGTAGAATTCTAAGATAGGGCCAGTTGCTTTGATGTTCCCAACAAGGAAACCGCCTAAGCGCATAGCTCTTTGTATTGTGTCACGGGTGCTTTTCGTGCCCTAGTTTGGTCTGATTATTGTTCATATGCTTCTACCTGCGTAGGCATGTCTTTTGATCTAATTATCTATGTAACTATGTAACTATAATTATGGTGTGTTTTATGCCGTAGACTCTATTCACCAATATAGCGACCTCCTCTTCGAGCTATATAACCCCAGAACGTAGCAAATTTGACCATTTCTATTCGCGCAACACAACCTATCTTCCATGTAATTAATAATTATACTAGAAGTTTAAGTCCCAATGTGTTCGCATTCGTATTATTCCCATTTAATAAAGGTAAATCTTGTAGTTAGAATGATGAGCCTGCTTGGAGGAAAGAAACATGCGTGGATTTATATTGCAACTCTTAATATCTGGTCCAATTGATCATTTAAGCCTTCTAAGTCTGAAACCCAAGTCTCAGATCGTTATAGAATCTTGTACAGCGTAATTGGAAAAGCCATAGATACACCGCCCCCAGATAAGCGGCGGCAAAATAAGCCCCCCGCGTCGATAAACAAGCAAGGGCAGCTTACGACATAGATATCCCTGAGAAGCCTGGGGAGTGAGACGAGTTGATCGTAACGTGAAGACTATGCCACAAACGATCCAGAATTCCACGATCACCCTCGCCGCGCCTGCTCCGATTGAACAATTGTCTTTGTTTACCGGTTGACTTCTTATCAACTGTGAGCACCCCAACGAATAACACCATCTCTTCTCTTCCTTCTCTCCTTTTACAACCCTGAATCCTTGCGATCCTGAAAGATATTCTACAGATCTTATCTAATCGAATCAAATTGATTGGACAGGAGCGTTATTTCATCTTAGAAACCATCCCGAGTCCACTTCCGAGGACCGTCACGTATGGCCCAACCCCACACTCCATCCTTGTGATAAGTGACTGCCGCTCGTGAATCTGACAATTCACCATTAGCCCTCGATAAATTCAGGCTCGATTCATGTCCATCGTCCTCCTCCACTGACTTGGATAAATTGCCAAAATGCCGCCTCCCATCGATCCGGAAACTATTTACACTAAGCAAACCTGCATCGGTAGGTGTTTTTAATACTTGGGCTTTGAGGGTTCATGGGGTTCATATGGTTGCTGACAATTCCGTGATCTCATAGGCGGTGGAAGCTTCGGTAAGGTGTTCAAAGGGTAAGCCGAGGACCTTCCATATCAATGTCTTGGTTCAACAAACAGCTGACTCAATTCGGATAATTAGTCTGGATAGACGCACTGGAGAGTCGGTGGCTATCAAAATCATTGACGTCGAGAATGCTGAGGACGATGTCGACGATATCATCAAGGAGATTGCGATCTTGTCCGAGCTGAAGTCTCCCTATGTTACCAAGTATCATGGCTCATACTTGAAGGGGTCCAACCTGTGGATCATCATGGAGTTCTGCGCTGGTGGTAGTTGCCACGGTCTCTTGCGACCTGGTGTGATCCACGAGGAGTACATTGCTATTATTCTGAGGGAGCTTTTGCGCGGGCTGGACTATCTCCACAGTGACCAGAAGCTGCACCGAGACATCAAAGGTATGAAGACCCCAATTGGTTAGAATGGCGATGCGCATAGACTAATAAGTTTGATTGCAGCTGCCAACGTTCTTCTCAGCGCGAGTGGTCAAGTTAAATTGGCGGACTTTGGCGTGTCGGGACAACTGTCGGCAACAATGACCAAGAAGAATACCTTCGTAGGCACTCCGTTCTGGATGGCTCCCGAAGTCATTAAGCAATCTGGATACGATTACAAGGCCGATATTTGGTCCTTGGGTATCACGGCAATTGAACTGGCCTGTGGTGATCCTCCGTATGCCGACATTCACCCAATGAAGGTGCTGTTCTTGATTCCAAAGAACCCGCCCCCACATTGGTAGGCGAGTTTAGTAAGCCTTTCAAGCAGTTTGTTGAATTGTGCTTGCGCCGAGACCCTAAGGAGCGGCCATCAGCTAAGGAGCTCCTTGAGCATCCGTTTGTGAAGCGTGCCAAAAGAACAACCTACCTGACCGAACTCATTGAGCGCGCAGAGCGTTGGCAAATAACTCATCGGGGTCAAGACGACGAGGACGAATATGATGATTATGACGATAGAGAAGCCGATCAAACAGCAAACGCCAGAACCCAGGAAAAGGAAGACCTTTGGGATTTCGGGACCGTTCGTCCTGTGGGAAAATCATCTGCCCCTCCATTGCGCCCTATGAAAGGCTCTGATACCAATGCGCGAACAAATGAGACAGAGGAGTGGGATTTGTGTGATGCGGCACCCCGACAAGCCGGAACATCCCAAACCCCATCACACGCTCAAGTCACCCCAGCAAA